AGCCTTTAGAACCAGATACAGGCTATTTAAGTGGCTGATTACACCCTTTGATTTGGCCAATGCTCCAAGCACATTTCAAAAATATATCAACTGAGCATTACATAGATATCTGAATGACTTCTGCTCAGTCTATTTAGATGACATCTTGATATTTTCCTCAAGAAGCTTACAGGAGCATCACAAGCATGTACAAAAGATGCTTATGCATCTACAGGAAGCAGGCCTGCAGGCAGACATTAGAAAGAGTGAGTTCAAGATGAACAGCACAAAATATCTTGAATTCATCATTGAAGCAGACAAGGGTATATGAATGAATTCAGAGAAGATTAAAGCTGTTTTGGAATGAGCAACACCTACTACTCTTAAAGATGTATGAGGATTTTTAGACTTTGCCAATTTCTATAGATGATTTATCAGGGATTTCTCAAAGATTGTGATCTCACTGATGATTCTTACATGCAAGAATGTTTCTTTTTTGTAGATGAGCAAGGCTGAGGAAGCTTTTAAGTGTCTAAAATCAATATTTATCTCTGCTCCAATCCTGCTTCAATTTGACTCTGACTGTGAGACTATATTGAAAATAAACTTCTCAGATTACATCTCAGAAGGAGTGCTGCTACAATATGATGAGCAGAGCATTCTACATTCATATGCCTTCTTCTCTTGCAAGCATTCACCTGCGGAATGCAACTACAAGATTCATGATAAGAAGTTATTAGTGATAATTGAATGTTTAAAGAAATGAGATGCTGAGCTACAAAGTGTAAAGAAATTCAAGATTCTCACAGATCATAAGAATCTAGAATACTTCATGACTACATACAGACTAAATGAAAGACAGCTATGTTGAATGAATATTCTCTATCAATTCAACTTCAGAATTGATTACCAGTCAGAGAAGTTGAATGCTGGACCAGACACCTTATTGTGAAGAGAGCAGAACATGCCACAGAGCACTGATGATGAGAGAATCAAGCAGAGGCAAGCTCAACTATTTAAGTTTAATGTACTGACACCTGGAATGAAATCAATAGTGACTGCTGCCAGTGTGGAACCTGAGATGTCTCTTCAAGCTCAGTGAAATGAGACTCATAAAAATGACAAGATTTTGCAGTGTCTGAAGTAAATTCTTCATAAGAAAAGATTCAGATTTTCTTCTGAACTCAGCATTAAGACCTCTGTCTCTGAGTGCTCTTTAAATGAGAATGAGAAGCTTCTCTTTCAAGATTGTAAGTGAATGCCAGACTTTGAACCTTTTTGAACTAGATTAGTGCATAAGACTCATGACTCATCTCTTATCAGCCATCCCAGGTAAGAGCAAATAGCAGAAGTTCTAAGACATGAGTTCTACTGGTCAGGCTATATCACTGATGTGAGAAGAATGATCAGGAACTGTCATCTTTGCAAATCAAACACTGCATGGAAAGATTGATGTCAGGAACTACTTAAGCCTCTCTTCATTTCTGAACACATATGGCAAGAGCTTTTTATGAACTTTATTGTGGACTTATCAAGCTCTAAAGAATATACAAACATCATGATTATAATAAACAGACTGATCAAGAGAGTTATATTAAAAGCAGTTAAGAAAACTGATGTGAAGATAGTGACTAGAGTGTTCCTTTACAACATTATCTCTCAATATGACATCTCTAAGACAATAGTGTCAGATTGAGAGTTAGCTTTCACAAGCATGTTTTAAACTTGAGTGTGTGAGAAATTAGACATTAAGAGATGACTCTTCATAGTTTATTATTCAGAGACTGATAGAGCTACAGAGTGAATGAATCAGACTCTGAAAATCTATTTACATAAGTACATTAGCTTTCAACAGGATGACTGGTGTGAATGACTCTCTCTAGCAGAGCTGATCATCAATAATAGAGATGCTGCCTCAATGAATGTGAGCTCATTCTTTTTAACACATCTTTTCCATATCTTCTTCATTGATATAGCTGATGCACCTCTCATTGAAATGTCATATAATCTCATTGAGTTTGCAGATGATTATATGAGGAAGGTTCATGAAGTGTTGAAGTGAGCTCAAGTAAAAATGACAGATGCTCAGCAATCTCAAGAGAAATACATGAATAGATGAAGAGATTCAGCTTCAAGCTTTCAATCTGAAGATAAGATCTGATTGAGCTTAGAGAATATGAGAACTAATCACCTGTGCAAGAAGCTGAACACAAAATACAATCAATATACTGTGCTAGAAAAGATAAAATTTCATGCTTACTAACTGAATATCTCACTCAGCATTCACAATGTCTTTAATGTAAAGCTTCTACATACTATGATGATGAATTCTCTGCCTAGTCAGAGGCAAACTGACTGATAGTCACTTACTATAGAGACTCTGAAAGAATCTGAGTTTGAGATTGAGGAAATTTAGAGTGAATGAATCTACTGAAGAAAAAAGTAATATCTTGTTAAATGAGTAGATTGAGCTGAGTCTATGTGAAATGATGCAAGTCTTCTACAAGAAGTGAAGGCCTTGAACACTTGAGAGACCTCCCAGCAGGCAAAATTAGATGTAAAGAGGACTTTAAATAGTCATAAAGACCCACAACAAAGAGGGAGAAGGAGAGTATTATAAGAGGTTGAATCTCTAGATTTGCTCTGACTGACTGACTCAGCCTAGTCATCATTTGCACATGTGCATATGATCATGCTACATGAGCTTGCTTAAGCTTAAGTTCTCATCTCATTCTTTTCTTCCCTTTCTCAAGCAATTTGTTCTTGTTATATAGTAGGACTAGCCTCTAGTTCTTAGAGCTTAACCCTTTACAATAAATAGTTAAATATATAAAAATGATTAAAAATCAAATTAGATCAATTTTTAAAATATAATAAAATAAATTAATTTTAATTTATATATAAATAGCTATACTATAATAAAAATAAAAATAATTAAAATTAAAATAAATTAATTTTAATTTATATTATAAGTAGTTATATTATAATATTTAATATTTATAATTTATTAAATTATATATAAAATAAAAATCAAATTATTTATTTTAAAAATAAACTTTATTATATTATATTATTAAAATCTATTAATAAATTTAAAAAATAAACTTATATAAATTATATAAAAAATTTTAATTAAATAATTTTTTTACTTTATAATTTAATTAAATTTAAAATATTAAATATTTAATAATTTTATTTATTTAATAATTAATTATATTAATTAAATAATTAAAATTAATAAAAATAATATATAAATTTATATATATAATAGATTAGACTCAGATTTCTGAGAATAAAAAGTTATTTTGAATATTGTTAAATATAAAAAAATTCATTAAGAGAAAAAAAAAAGAGAAGAAAATAAATAATAATATCTTTATGAGCTTTTATAGTAAGTTGTTAATCATCAACTAGTTAGTAATTAGTTAATTAACTGCGTGCTTATATAATAAGCTATGATAGACAGTAGTAGTATGAGAAGAAATTTAATAAAAACTAGAATATAACTCTTCATAATATAGTTAATATATATTAACTTTTTACTTTAAATAATGATAAAAATTATACTATAGTTAAATTTAATTAATTATATGAAAAAATATTTTTTATATTTTTATATTTTTTTTATTTTTTTTATTTTTATAATTATTAAATATATTACTTTTTTAAATAAAATGAGTAATTATTAAAATAAAATTAATATAAGATTTAATATTAATTATATAAATAAAAATAAGTTTTTAAATTTATATATTATAATTAAAAATATTAAAAAATATAATTATTAAAAATAATTTTTATATATTTATATTTTTAACTATATATATTTAATTTTTTTTTAATATATTATAGGTTTTAAATTTTTAAGTTTTACAGAAAGTTCTTATATATTTACATTTTTAATTTTATATGTTTAATTTCTTTAATATATTTTATGAGTTTCAAATTTACTGAACTTTAAAGGTTCTTAGCAATGTGACTTAGTTAGAAAGTCAGTTTAACAAAATCAAGCAGTATATCATGCACTATATACAGAGTTCTTTTAGTTCAATTAATCAAACTCTAAATCAATTGATTTGAAAGTATCAGCTAGTCATGCAAAGTGCCGCTATTCTGACATAGAAAAACAAGACTTTACAGATTGCAAATGAGAAGAAAAAACACAAGTGAGAATGAGAACATGTCAATATAGCTCATAAGAGCATTCTAAAATCAGAGAGAGGATTGACTAGAGCTCAAGCTGCTCAACAAGCTGTGAAGAGAGCAGTGAAAAATTCAAATCAGTCTACTAAAAAATGAGCATTATCATGCTGTAGTAATTGTGATAATGCAGAACATAGAGCCCCTGCATGCCCATAAAGTTAAGAAACCATTTATATAATTTCTTTGTGTGATTCCATAATTGTATACTTAATTTGAAATTTTTTTAAATATAGGTGGGTGTTCCGATAGATGACCTGTTCCGGTGTTTGATCACTTACGTAAAGATACTGATACTCCAAAAGAACGTAGTTTATCCCTTCATGGCGGGATGACTAACTATAATTATAAAACTCCGGCTGTAATGTCAGCAGGACTGATACCGCTAAAACACCAAAATTACGAAATCTGGCTGTATTTTCTTGGATGCCAGATATTTCCCCATTCCGCTCTGGGGCTTTCATTCCTTTGACCCAAGCAGAGCCAGTTGCTCAGGAAAAAGAAATATCTCTTCGGTATCTCTGGCGGTGAGTGGCGATAGTGGCAGTAGCCGCTTCACACCGCTCTTCCTCTCATGTGACAGCCCTTCGGCTTGTTTTGGCTCCTTTCAACTTTTCCCTCCTTCAGCCTTTTTTTTCTCAATTCTTTACATCTCTTCCCTTCACAGCTTTCAGTCCTGTGTAAGCAACTTATATCCTCTGCCTTTTGTTTTCTGGTCCTTTATCATTAGGTTTCATTCTCACCAGGACAAGCTAGATTCCCCAATACCTCTCATTCCACCTCCCAATACCCACGCCTATACATCTGCCAGACAAGTCAATATGGTCAAAGCAGGTTAGTAATCCCTCATTCAATTCTCAGAGTATCTTTAGAAACTCCTGTTCTAACTAATTGGCAGTTGTTCTCGGTGCTTCCGGTGGCATTGGCCAGGTACGCGCCTCCTATATGATTTACAACACTATCAAAAACACACCGTCAACGTTGGGGGCTTCAACCCCAAAGCCAAACCGTACAAGATGCAGGTTTTATACTAACTCTGCATCCAATGATCTCTAGCCGCTCTCCCTCCTCCTGAAAGCTAGTCCTCTCGTAGACGAGCTCGCTCTTTACGATGTCGTCAATACCCCAGGCGTTGCTGCTGACCTCTCCCACATCTCCACCGTTGCTGTGGGTACCCCGTAAAAACACCATTTAGCACTACAATCAAATGTTGATATGCTGTGCACTGTAGACTATCAAGGGATATCTCCCCGACAACGACGGCCTCAAGAATGCCCTCACTGGCGCTGATATCATTGTCATCCCTGCCGGAATTCCCCGTACGCAATCCATTTATAGTCTCCTGAGCACCATATCATTTCTAGACCATTAACCATTCCCCCAACCCAACAGGTAAGCCTGGCATGACCCGTGATGACCTTTTTAAAGTCAACGCCGGCATCGTCCAGACTCTAGTCAAGGGCATCGCAGAATTTAGCCCCAAGGCCTTCATCCTCGTCATCTCTAACCCCGTCAACTCCACCGTCCCCATTGCTGCTGAGGTTCTCAAAACCGCCGGAGTTTTCGACCCCAAGCGCCTCTTTGGCGTCACCACCCTCGACGTCGTTCGTGCCGAGACTTTTACCCAAGAGTTCACTGGCCAGAAGGACCCGTCCAAGGCCTCCATCCCCGTCATCGGCGGTCACTCAGGTGAAACCATTGTGCCTCTTTTCAGCCAGGCCAAGCCTCCTGTCACCATTCCCGCTGATAGATACGATAGCCTTGTAAATCGTATGTGAAAAAGTTTTGGATCTGAAACTATAGCACCGCCAATGCTAATTCCAGTGAACAGGCGTCCAGTTCGGTGGTGATGAGGTTGTCAAGGCTAAGGACGGAGCTGGTTCTGCCACGCTGTCCATGGCTTATGCTGGATTCCGGTAAAATAACTCTCCCACCTTTTCCCTCAGTCTTTTAGATAAATGAGCGTTGACGGATGCTTCAACCTAGCTTCGCTGAGAGCGTCATCAAAGCCTCTAAGGGGGAGAAGGGCATCGTTGAACCAACCTATATTTACCTCTCCGGTGTCGACGGAGGCGAAGCCATCAAGAGGGAAGTTGGCTTGGACTTCTTCTCCATCCCCGTTGAGCTCGGCGTAAGTGACATATTTTCTCATCCGTGCATAACTTCTCAGTTTCTGGGAGCCAGACGCTGGATTTAGACGACTGACAACACTCTTTAATTATAATAGACATCCGGTGCGGAGAAGGCCCATAACATCCTAGGCGGAATCACGGAACAGGAGAAGAAGCTCCTCGAAGCCTGCACCAAGGGTCTGAAAGGAAACATTGAAAAGGGCATCGAATTTGCTAAGAACCCACCTCCAAAGTAAAACCCCACCCATCCGCCCTCCTATCCGCCATCACACGTCTTCGCCATTTGTCAAACCTCCTAATAAAAATAATATCCTGGGAAAGCGATGCATCGTTTTGTTCCCTTCCCAGCAGCTCCCTTGCTTGCTCCCCAGGATATATCCTTGCATGTACCCTCTGGCCCAACTACCCATTATTTGCTTTTTAATAAAATATGCCACCCACCACCAATCAAAACCACAAGGCAAGCAAGGCAATCGAAGGGAGAGACATTTACTAATTGGTGGCTTTCTTTCTTCGCTCCCCTCTTTTCCTGGTGGATAGGCTCTAGGACACACATACAACGCAAAATCACCCAAGTACATTTTGAAAAACGACGCATGTAAAAGAAAAAGGGACAACACATTCTGGTTGTGAAACCACAACAGTGTGCTTTTCAGGCGGTGGATGAGGGAGTGAGAGGTTCTTTTTCTTCTTTAGAAAAGATATAAATAAAATGAGATTGGGAATGAAGTGTTTCATTTGTTTGTTTATTTATTTTTGCACTGTGTTTGGCCCCATTCTAAGCCGCTGTGCCCCAGCCTTTTTGCCATTTCCTAATCAAAAAGCAATGCTAGAGATCGATAATAATTCAATTCATTAAAACACTCATAAATATAGTATTAACTCAAAATTACCCGGTCTAATGCTAACGGCGAGGGGTATCTTTCATGATTTGGATGATGGTTGTTGCTGCTGTAATTGTATCGTTTTGATCTGGAAAGTTGCTCCTGGCAGGTCTGAGGATTCAGCTTGCACGGTGGCATTTATGCCCATGCTCGCGAGGCCGCCGCGGATTATGCCGCAGGGGAACCAGAGATACTGCACGGTTGGAGTTAGGTTGGGTATGGCAGGTATATTTTATAAGAGAAAAGGAGTACAACATGGGGTGGGTTAGGTATAAGCCTACTGATTGTGCTTTTGCGATTGCTTCGTTCTGATTTGCTAGGCTCATTCGTGTTAAGGGGCGGAAAGCGTTATCTGTTAATACGTATACGCCCTGTAGGATAAGTTCAATCAGGAGCCTGTCAAAGATGTTCTTCTATGGATTCCACGTAATGCTTCCGTATCTATCCAAAACAACTAAGAGCCAGAAGGCTAGGAGGATGTAATGGTAATGGAGGAATTGAGCCAGGTTTGCTTTTCTCACCCTGTGGTTCGTCTTCAGATTATCAATCTGTTTCCGAAATATAATTGTCCAGAAATCCTTGCAGAGGAATTTTATCACGTCTAGATTATCTGTAAATCGCGGTCTATCTCGTGAGAATCTATTTTCATCTCATACATGAGAGATCAGTTAGTTCTATGTCGGTCTAAGGAAGAAATAAGATCGTCCAATGGCTTGAGAAACTGTTTCCAGGCGGTGACAAGAAAATAACTAGATAGAAGATGTAGCATCAATCTACATCATTGCCCATACTCAAAACGATCTAGATCGCTGGAACGAAAAACGGCTACCGCTGCAAACGTGGTAGTAAATATGCATTCATCTTACCTCTCCGCTAACCCCTGGCCAACCCGAAACCCCAAAGTCTCCAGTCTATAGAAGGTAGCTTCGCGATGCTCTTCTTCGTCCAATTTGCCATTGACTCCTGACAGTTCGTCCGCTAGTCGTTCCGCCATTGGCACTAGTTCTATGAGGAGAAGATCTATACATGAGGCGCTGAGGAAACGGGCGTGCGGATCCGATGCGGTGAAGGATGGAACCGGGGTGTCGAAGGACATCTGAGAGGGATGAGGGTTTACTTGTGGGAAGACGGGGAGGAGGAAAGGTGGCGGAGATTACAGCGGATGCTAGGAGGGTGTTCAAGAGTTGTTGTTTTTCGGGATGGATGTTGGTCGGGTATGGTATATATTGACATCAAGAATTATATGGCTAGGCATCAGCAGAATTTAAGAGAAGGAAGACGTTGAGGAGTAGTTATGGAGGTTCATTGGATTGCGGTGACAAGCTGATTTCCAGTCTGGAGAATTAGCTAACTAGTTAGTTAACTAACGTAATTCCCAGGTGAGTGGCGTACCAAACTGAACAGCGGACCAAACTGCAATGTGAAACTAAGTTATCAATCTACCTACTTTGACGCGTCAAAATGCCATCAATTCGCAATAAAAATAAAGTAAACACTATAGAAATAGAGGACAGGATTCAACATGCAATTTCTTCTTTGAAAAATAAAGAAACTATCTTTATTCATGAAGCAGCAAGGTTACACAATGTTTCAGATTGTGCTATTTTCTATTGACTGATTGACTGAAACCGAAGGGGGAAATACTTATTCAATGAGTGATGAGTCCACACGCAATGAGCACTACCACTTGATGCATCTTCAATATATATTATTTCTTCAACTTCCAACCTCAAGAGCATGGTTAATGAAGAAGCTATTAAATTAGCAATTAAAGATTTAAGATCACAGAAGATTTTAAATTACCTTGCTATTGTCAAAAAAATTAAAATCAATCAAATAATACTGACGCACTTCTATAAAGATGAAGTAGTTTAAAATTTTAAAATCATCTTTAAATACTTCAAAAAATTCATTAATTCATAAAAAAATCAGTTTTTTTTTGTATATAAAATATGTCTTAAGCGATGAACTTGTTTCTATATATTAAACTATATAAAATCTTATATTTAAGATAATAAAATAAAAAATTAAAATTAATTAAATAAATTATCTTTAAAGATATTATAAAAATAAGATAAAAAATATCTATTTAAAAATAATTAATAAAAATGATAAATTTTAAATTATTTTTTGTACTTTAAATATTTTTATATATATATATATATAAATAAGACTTTATTTTGATTATAAAAATAATTTAATACTAATTATTTTATTTTATTAATTAAATATAATTATTAATAAATATAATATTAAATTATTAAATATATATAATTTATAATATAAAAAATCTTTTTTAATTAATTTTAAATAAATTATAAAATAAATTATTATAAAAATTATTAATATTTTAATTAATCAAATAATTATTTTTAATAATAATATAAAAAAAATAATATACAAAATATTTAATTAAATAGTTTTAATTATATAGAGTAAATACTTTATTTTATATTTTTATTTAATATATAAAATAATAATAGCTATAAATAAATATATTTTTAATTAAATATATAAACTTATTTTTTATTATATATTTATTTAAATTTTATTTTATTTTAAATAAAAATTTTAAAATTATATATATTAATTTATACTTATAAATTAAATCTATAAAATAATTAAATTTTAATTTAAATAATAATAATAATAATTATTATTATTTTTATTTTTTAAATATTTTAAAATTTTTATTAATTTAATTATAAAATAAATATAATATAAAAAAGTTTTTAAAAAATATTTTTTAATAATTTAATTTATTATATTTAATATATTTAAAATATTATAAAGATAATAATAAATATAAATTTTTTTATTAAAAAATAAAATTTTCTATATTAAAAATAAATAATAAAGAAAAAAAATATTTTTAAAAGAAAATTTTTTATATTTATATATAAAATTTATAATTATATTTAATAATTTAATATATAAATAAAAAAATAAATTAAAAAATTAATTATATAAATTTTATCAATAAATTTTATATTATTATAATTATTATAAAATTATTTTAATAAATAATTATATATTATATTTAAATATATTAATTTAATAATATTAATAATTAAAAAGTTTTAAAATTTATAAAATAATATAAAAAATAAATAATTTAATAATAAATTATATTTATTAATTAATTAATTAATATAAATTTTAAATAAATAAATTATATAAATAAATAAATTATTATAATAAATTAATGTAGTGGATTAAGCTCTAAGAACTAGAGACTAGTTCTTCTATATAACAAGAATGAATTGCTTGAGAAAGAGAAGAAAAAAATAAGATGAGAACATGAGCTTAAGCAAGCTCAAATAGCATGATCATATGCACACATGCAAATGATGACTAGTCTGAGTCAGTCAGTCAGAGTGAATCTAGAGATTTAGTCTCTTATAATACCCCTCTTCTCTCTCTTTGTTGCAGGTCTTTATAACTATTTAAAGTTCTCTTTACAACTAATTTTGCCTGCTAAGAGGCCTTTCAAGTGTTCAAAGTCTTCACTTCTTGTAGAAAACTCATGTCATTTCATGTAGACTCAGTTCAATCTTCTCATTTAACAAGATATTGCTTTTTTCTCTGATAAATTCATTCATCTCAAATTTTCTCAATCTTAAACTCAGGTTCTTCTGAGATCTCTATAGCAGGTGATTGTTAATCAGTTTATCTCTGACTAGACAGAGAATTCATCACTGCAGCATGTAGAAGCTTTACATTAAAGATATTGTGAATGCTGAGTGAAATATTCAGTTGATAAGTATGAGATTCTATCTTTTCTAACACAGTATATTGATTGTATTTCACATTCAGCTTCTTGTACAGATGATTAGTTCTCATGTTCTCTAAGCTCAATCAGATCTTATCTTCAGATTGAAAGCTTGAAGCTGAATCTCTTCATCTATTCATGTAGTTCTTTTGAGATTGCTGAGTATCTGTCATTTTTACTTGAGCTCACTTTAACACTTCACAGATCTTTCTCATATAATCATCTGTAAACTCAATGAAATTATATGATATTTCAACAGAAGATGCATCAGCTATATCAATGAAGAAGATATGAAAAAGATATGTTAAAAAGAATGAGCTCATATCTGTTGAGACAGCATCTTTATTATTGATGATCAGCTCTGCCAGAGAGAGTCATTTACATTAGTCATCCTGTTGAAAGCTACTTGTTGAAAGCTAATGTACTTGTGTAGATAGATTTTCATAGTCTGATTCATTTGCTCTGTAGCTCCATCAGTCTCTGAGTGATAGACTGTGAAAAGTCATCTCTTAATGTCTAATTTCTCACACATCTGAATTTAAAACATGCTTGTGAAAGCTGATTCTCAATCTGACACTAC